ACACATTCAGATGCCCAACACACATTCAGATGCCCAACACACATTCAGATACCCACCACACATTCAGATGCCCAACACACATTCAGATGCCCAACACACATTCAGATGCCCAACACACATTCAGATGCCCAACACACATTCAGATGCCTACCACACATTCAGATGCCTACCACACATTCAGATCCTCACCATACATGTACATTCAGATACCCACCAAACATTCAGATACCCCCCAAAATTCAGATGCACACCAGACATTCAAATACCCACCATACATTCAGATGCCCACCACACATTCATATGCCCACCAGACATTCACATACCCACGGTTGGTACGACAAAGTCACCCCGCAGATCTCCACTAGTAACTTGCTCAGTTAGACCAAGACATGAATAACTAAAGTAGTAGGAGTACATAACCTTGGGTAGTAGTAAACCTAGGTGCTGTTGTGCACATGTCTGTACTGTTCCCCGGTCCTCAGTTACCATGGTTACCTCAGCCTGCTCATGACTACTGTGTGTTGTGTCCTGTTGATGTCCCTATTCATAACTGCTGCATTGCCTTTCATACTACACCCGCTGGTTTGAAGTGTTGTGCACAGTTGCATGACCTGTAGCTTCTTGTTGTATACATTGCATGCATCATAGGAGTCAATGTGTCATATCATGTTTCTCATGCTATTCAATTATTCATCCTTGCTCACGCTAGACTAGACGTCTGCGTAGGGACAGCTTGCTGGTGTGCTGCATGCATTCATTGCTAGTTCCATGCATAGTTCTTTGCCCTACTGTGGCGGAAGGTCGTCCCGTGCAGCCGCAATGATCAGCTGCGCTACGGAGGTTCAGTTCCGGCAAACACGCGTGCGGATTTGCATTTTGCTGCTTGATTTTGATGTATTTGTAGTTAGTACCAGGAAAGAGCTTGCTGGTGCAGTTGTTGTTTTGGTTTTGGTTCTGAGTTTAGTTTGCTCTTTGTTGTTACCTGCTTGGCACAATCCGAGTGGTGGTTGTGGTTTTCTTTCTCTTTGGCTGATTCTGTTACTACCAGGTAGTAGCTAGCCATTTTGAAGTATTGCAATCAGTTTGCAATGGATACAGTCTTCTCCTAGTGAAAATATTCTATAAACCTCAGACTCTGTGTTGTGAGCAGGGAGTAGTAAAATACAGGGAGGTGACTCGAGCATGTACGGCCAGTTTGACGATTGCCTCAGCACCGTTTTCACCCGGCGGGTGAGATTGGGGTACTATGGGTACCGAAGTGTGTAGACACGCGCGCGAATCAGGATTCTCTCGATCAGGGAGTAGTAAAATACCTACCGCCAAAGAGGCTCCTACTGCAGCCCGTAGAAACTCAGCGCTGAGAATTTCCAACAATTGTCTGCCTTCACAAAGTTTGGTAGTCGACCAAACTACCACTATGTCAGGATAGAAGTCCAGCAAGAGTGGTATCACTTTGGGAGATATCCCTGCGTGCCGTAGATTTTTCCTGTGTCGATACAAGCTGTTTACGACGACGTAGCCCGCATTTCAATCCTTGACAAACTTAGGAACATTTCATTCCGAAAAGTGAACTCCCGAATCTCTAGCATACCATAATATGAAATGCTCATCATCACAAAGAAGGTAGAGAAGTACTGGTTGATCACAACTGAGGAGAAATTAGTGCCGATCGTGTGGTGTCCTAGAGATTTTTTCGACTTCGAAATCGGTGCACTCGTTTTTCATCTCCAATCGTACACGTATTGTTCTCAAGGAAATCACCTTCGTTCTATTGCTCCATGCCGTCGATCGGGACGAATTTCGGAAGGGTGGTACCTTTCCATATGACGATGACACAGATGTATCACAAGAGCAAAACAAATGCTGTTCCATGAGATGGATAGACCTTTTCACGGATCAGTTCTTCGACAAATACTCAAGATTGATTCAGCAGATCATCTTTTTTTGCGAAAGAAAAAAAACAAGCGCGAGGCACCCATCAAAAATCACGATTAGTGGCGTGTCACCTCCCTGTATTTTACTACTCCCTGGTTGTGAGTGAGAATACCGGCGCAAACACCCACCATGTCATGTACATGTACATTCAGGTGCCCACCATACATTCAGGTGCCCACCATACATTCACATATCCACCATACATTCAGATGCCCACCACACATTCAGATACCCACCACATATTATGATGCCCACCATACAGTCAGATGCCCGCCACAAATTCAGATGCCCACCATCGATTCAGACGCCCGCCACACATTCAGATGCCCACAATACATTCAGATACCCACCATACAATCAGATACCCACCACACATTCAGATGCCCGCCACACCTTCAGATGCCCACCACACCTTCAGATGCCCAGCACACATTCAGATGCCCAGCACACATTCAGATGCCCAGCACACATTCAGATGCCCAACACACATTCAGATGCCTACCACACATTCAGATACCCATCATACATTCAGATGCCTACCACAAATTCAGATACCCATCATACATTCAGATACCCACCATACATGTACATTCAGATGCCCACCACACATTCAGATGCCCACCACACATTCAGATGCCTACCACACATTCAGATGGCCACCATACATGTACATTCAGATGCCTGACACACATTCAGATGCCCACAATACATTCCAATGCCCACCTCACATTCAGATGCCCACAATACATTCAGATGCCCACCACACATTCAGATGTCCACCATACAGTCAGATGCCCACCACACATTCAGATGCCCACCAGACATTCAGATGCCCACCACACATTCAGTTGCTCACCATATATTCAGATGCCCACCATACATTCAGATGCCTCCCACAAATAATTCATTCAGATGCCCACAATACATTCCAATGCCCACGATACCCACCACAGTGTTACCAAGTGCGCTCTACCCCCAAGCGTATTGCCAGTGCCATTTTTCAGTTTTGCGTACTCGTTTTTTGGGTAAACATTTTGACTGATTTGGAGTGTAATTTGGAGAATCAAACGAGATACTGTACAACTTCTTTTCCAGTCACAGAGTTCACTTGTGAACCTTACGAATTCAGTACAGTTTTCAACCTGAATTCAGTACAATGTTCAACCTTACGAATTCAGTAAATTTTTCAACCTGAATACAGTACAATTTTCAACCTCACCAGGTCCGCATAACCGTGGTCTACTTCGCTTGATTTTCACAATCTAGGGCTCGTTGGAAAGCTCTTGGCAGGAGCAACGCCAGGATACCAAGCTCCATTATGAAGCTGCCACAAATCAGGCGCCGTAACACAGCAAAGTCATCTTCAAGCATAATATGCAAGCATATTTGTCCCATCAACACCATTCCACTCTCCTTCATCACAGAACGCTGAAATGTTTTCGACGCGATTCAGACTTCAACCGGTTACGTCATTATGATGACGTGCTCAGTCGCTCCAAGAGCATGCAAAAAGGCATTTTCTCCAAACATGACGAAGAGATCGATCAAAAATTAGGATTTGCCGAGGTAAGAATATCGAAACACGGCGCTCGATATCTCTGGAATCCAACATCGTCACTCTTCGGCGATTGTTGCATTGGATAGCTTGGAGGTTTCGCTACCACGTATACCCTTCGAGTGTTGAATTTTCACAAGAAACGATGGAGTTACAAAGTGTTGTGATCACAGGAGTGTGATTCCCACCTACTTATACAATGTAACGTCATGTACATGTACATGTATGTGCTGTGTACATTATGCGTCATGGGTCTCTTTTTTATTATTCTGTGTTTTAGGCATGTTTTGTGAGCGGATCTTTCATGTGATCGCTGTTTTCGTACACTGTTTAGGTTTTTGGATTCGGATATTTGATTTGAGTTTGTTTTGGACAAGAACTGAAACTAGCACCAATGTTGTCTTGTCTGACTGAACCCAACACAAAGGTTTTAGTAATCTATCATACACGATAGTTTGCGCAATCCATACTGCGGACAAAACTTCGTATTTCCGTAAAAATACAAATGCGGGCGGTAGGCAACACTGCCACCATCCAGTACATTCTGTTATCGCACCCCACGTGAGTGTCTCCATGGTTTGAGCCAATCAGCGGCCTTACTGAGCGTGCAATATTCCCCAGTACACCGCCAGCCAATGATTATGTGGATGCACTGCAGTGCTATATTGCACCCCGGCGAGTGAGCGTGCAAATAACCTATTTGCACGCTCACTTCGAAGCGAGCGTGCAAATATAGGTTATTTGCACGCTCGCTTCGAAGTGGGAATATTGCGAGTCGCTCCGCCAGGGAGTCGCTGCTGACTTGACTGTCGACATGATTGTCATGTTGGGCCATGGCCAGACTGGAGACTGCCTAGCCCAGTATACATGCCATGGTACAACTACAACTGTACAACATGACTACATCAGTACATGACTATCACTGAGTCTGTGCGTGTGGTCATGAATCTCTAGCCTGGGTCCAGCCTGGGTCTGGCCCTGGCTGGGGGGATCTGGCCTTCGCTTCCAGGAGCGGAAGTCAAAACTCAAAGTACTGGTTACCGTGTTACAGACACTGCAGTGTGACTCAATCGAAGCCTGAAAAAACCAAGCTCCCCAACTAATACTTGCCCAAGCACATGCGATGCATAGGCGTAGCGCTAGCGGAGAGTGCGTGTGTGAGAGTAGATGCATGCTTCGGCCACTACCGTACCGACACCAGTCAGTGACTCACCAGGTCGCGGTGGTGACCTGGTGAGCTCGCAGCTGCACTGAGCGGGACATGCGGAAGCGTAGATCTGCGCACTAACCCATACTGTAATCATGCCCACTACGTAGACCTGGTTACTGGTAGACACTACAGCTCTAGCTCTGCGGACAGTCACAGTGACTCACACAGACCTGCACAGCGAGCACAGCTACCATGGCTACGCCGAGCTAGCAGCAAAGCTGAGAAGTAAAAACTAAAGTCAAGAAGTAAAGACTCAAAGAGCATGGATTGGCGGAGCTGAGCGCCGTGCTTGACTCACGTAGATCAACGGACTGACTACACAGACAGTCACACTACTAATACTATCACTAGGCCATGGCATGAGTGCGGATGCAGAAAATCGCTCGTAGAATCTACTGGCGCAGACTTCTACTAGTAGTAGTAGTAGTATCAGTAGTATGGCGGTAGGACTAGGAGTAGAGCCAGAGGCTTGTCGTCGTGCTGTTTCCTGCCTTCGACCAGACTATGTCATCCTGAGTATCTACACTGCAAGCGTTTCCTCGGCGAAGCAAGTTAAAATTTATTTGTGGCGAAGCAAGCTAGAATTTATTTGCACAATCTTACTCTTTGCCTCTAAGTGACCAGAACATAGTGATCAGAACAGGCCAGCCGGTTATTGAAGCGTGGCGCATAGTCCATAAATAACGTAGTCATGAAGGGATGCCGCAGTTCGCTATTTCTACCTTCAAATGCTACATCTGTTGAAGAGGATAGGTTTCTAGCGGGTTCACGGATTTATTCAGACATGGACTTGGAAGAAAGGTGAGGTTGAAACATAGCTGTACAAATACACAACTAGTTACCTGGACATGAATGCTGCTAAATTTATCACTGGATAAATATCAAGGTCAAGCTAGCTGTTGGTATCAGCGCCGCCGCTACTGTTGCTGCTGTCACCACCAAATCACCGCTGCTGCTGCGGGTGTCGCCACCAGCACCGCCCTACTGCTGCTGTCACCACCAGCATTGCCGCTAGTGCTGCTGTCACCGCCAGCACCTCTCCTAGTCTCCCACTCTCCTAGTCTCCCACTCTCCTACTCTCCTAAGCCACCAGCGTCGCCGGCTCTGCTGCTGTCACCACCAACACAGCTGCTGCTTGAGAACGGGTTTATTCACAACACCAATTGGGCTAATCGCGTTAAACCATGAAGTAAGAGTCAAAGCAAAAAGACAACCCAAATTCGGAAATAAATAGAACACTCATTTGAAATGTAGATTGAACACAGAAGCTGCACAATAAATCGTTATCTAATAAGATTGCCTAGCGGCATGCAAAGGCGAAGTCACGCCTCTGCCCGTGTCAGCACAGCCGGCGGCAATATGCTGCAATGGGGCTCCCGAACATGCAGCGAATGTAAGAGTAGGGATATCACCGTATTTCTTTCTTTCGTAGTAAACCAAGAATACTGTTTGTTTTCGGGAAGAACTACAGTACAGGAGATAGCACAGATAATTTGGATGAAAAATCTTGAAGGATACCAGAGATATGAGGCGTCAAAGTCATACGCCAACCTTCATCATGATGTATGCGGAATGCCATACTGATGTGGCACCAACAGGGTTTTCCGGAAAGCCTAGCAAGCGCTTAGCAACATTACAATATTGTCAGAATGCTATGAAATCTGGCTTGTAGGTGCAATATAGGTGCAATAATTATGGGTGCAATACAGGTTAGTTAGTCCTAATGTTGACCAAAATATAATATTTCGGCAAGCGATGACCAATGAGAACGAGCGCGGCGCCCGTAGCAACCACCATAGCAACAATGCTAAATCCATTGAACATGAGTTCCATTACTATGAAATTGAAGTGAGCATTGATTGCTATGGTTGTATTATACATGTACAAATAATAAATACAGCAGTTTAGTCTTCAGATGCCCAACTTTAATTTACTGCGGCAGTCACACAGTTGATCAATCATGTACATGTACATTTTACATGTAAAATGCACAATAGTGAAATACGCGTACAATCCAATCACTGACGCGATCCATGTCAGAGCACCACTCCATAGCAATTTCTTTCTGGTTTCAAGGCGACGAGTCGAATACAAAAACATAGCTCACTTTGTCGCAATAGCGAAAGTCTCCGTCAGGTGCAATCTTTCACTAGGGCCAACAAATCATCTGAAACACTCCTAGCGCTTGAACATATTGGGTCCAGAAATTCATTCATTTCGGGCGACCAGGAGGTGAACGTCTTGAAAGCGCGATCAAGAGCGATTCCCCAGCTCGAGAAGAAAGCACTATTCTACATAATTCGAGGTCGCTGAACACGATGGTGGGTGTTCCCTGGCCGTGAACTCCCTCCAAACGGATGAAAAATCCAATTGAAAACTACCCTCCTCACAACAAAAAGCTCAAACTACAGTTGCCCAAGCAAGTGCAGCACCAAAACGAGCAGGAAGACCTCAGCTATCAAACGCACCAACTTTCAGCTTTGAAAAAGAAAGCAGGACAAAGTAATTCGAAAAAAACTGCAGCGCAGTCCATGGTGCCACCGCTACCATGCTAATGTACGTGACCCGCGTGAAGGCTGTTTTCAGCTGATTTGTCACGTGACTGAACTCCCTAGTAAGAGGCCCTGCACCCTCTAAAGCACGTGACTGCCCATCGCAGCAGGCAAAACGAAACCCGGGTGCGTAACTCACCCATCACGGCAGAATATACCAAGTCTTTGTTTTTGTCTACAACCAAAGCAGCTAGCGACTTCAGAAATATAGTGGCTTCCTTGCCCGCCACACCCGAGGCCGAAAACACCAGTGGGGTGAATGATGCTCTCTCCACCTGGTTTACTCTTGCACCATACGCCGCCTTCTTCATTCTCCCGTGTGTTCTCAGGTGACTAAGGATTTCCGGACGAGACAGCAAGGACGGCCCAAGGTCAGTGACCCTTACATTAAACTGCCTCTGCTGTCGCCATCAGCACCGCTGGTACATGTCAGCATGAATTTTCCTGGCTCACACCACTTCAAAATGCATGATTTAGGTTGGGTTTAGTGTCAGTGTACCCGATGATCCCAGCAAGTTGAAAGCACTGGTACTGATCTCTATCTACGTTTACACTACAACAATATTAGGAGGATGAAAAAGTGTTTTACTCCGAGTTTCACGCACTAAGCGATCATCAGAAAACAGTAGGGGTGAAATGATTACGCTTTTTGACTATCGAATAAGTTCGGAATAACCTGAACCACTATCGATCGGTTATTGGTTAATTTTTCGATTGTTTCTTCTCGTACAGACAAAAGCCATATTAGAAGCTGAAAATGCGAAAATTAACTTACAAATTTAGAATTTTAAAATAGATCCTGGGGAGAAGAGAATTTTTCCTCGCACATTGGTCTATCTACAATCATACGTGTATAATCATGTATACTGTATGCACAATTGAGTAATCGAAACGTTTCCAATAATCAATTTGTTAGCTTGTAACGAAATCTATTTCGAGTATCCGGTATAATCGATTAAGGGGTAGAAATCAACACAGTCAAAGCTCACAAATATGTACTTTTCTTTTTCTGGTGTACAGTCAACTTTGCGAATAACGACATTCGGCGGGGCATCCGAAAAGTGTCCTTATTCGCAAAGTGTCCTTATACCCGAAGTCCCATTTGAATGTATGTGAACCCATATTGTTGTATAGTATGATATGCATATCAAAACGAATCTCTTTTCATGGTCTATGTCAAAATGTACTTTATTTTCATATTACAATTGAAAGGAACTATAAAGTCAATATGGAAGGGAAATAGATTGAAAAGTTGGCCTTTGGAGCCATCTACATGTACATATACAGGGACATGTACTGTACGTATACAGGGACATGTACTGTACATATACAGGGACATGTGCTGTACGTATACAGGGACATGTACTGTACATATACAGGGACATGTACTGTACGTATACAGGGACATGTACTGTACATATGTTGGACTCAGTAGAGCGTCCAGCCCCTATATGATGTCCAACCCCTATATAGAGTCCATTGGTCCAAAATCCACTGTACAGAGTCCAAACTTGGAATCAACTGTGAGCTCAAAGTTTAGATGGACATCACTCCCTGTATAGAGTCCATTGGTTCAAAATCAACCGTACGGAGTCCAAACTTTGAAATCAACTATAAAGATTAAAGAGTCTTATGTGGACAACACTCCCTGTATAAAGTCCAGCCAATTAGGCATCCCCTATCGAGTTCGAAATTAGACATAGGATCTGCTGTAAGCAGTGAATATAACCAGAAAACGGCCTCTCCCTTTAATCCTTTACATCACTCACTTCTCAATGTAAAAATATGTATTGAGGCGCCACTGCAGCCACTTCATTACATAAAAAAGCCTACAAACACCATCCTCAAATCAAGTGGTCTCTTCGCAGACGCTGCAAATTACAATATCTCAATCATGTAGTGTTGCCAAATAATTGTGCACGCACACACACACATGCACACACCCACACAACGCCAAGAAAATGCCTAGAAAAAAACAAGAATCGAAAGAGAATAATGGAGAGCCCAGGTTGAATTATTTGTTTTCAAATTATTGCGCGCGCGCGCGCGCACACACACACACACACACACACACACACACACACAAACTTGTACAACGTCAAGAAAACACCAAAAAAAGAGTAGAGACACCATACACACGCAACTCCAACAGCCATGCAAACGTCCACCCATTTACAAGTAAAGTCAAGAGGGATAACAAATAATTATACGAAACGAATGCATACCTGGGCGGATGCACGCACGTTTACATACATGTAGTAGTGTAAGAGAGTAACATAGTGCAGTAGTCAGCATAATACTAGCACATGCTGAGAGTGCAATAGCAAGCTTCACCATTGCTCATGGCCATGCAAATGTTCAGCAGCACTCAGTTCCGCAAGCTTCTGAAAATCAGCACACCTGCAACAAATAGATAGCACAAGGATACGCTTATTACCGTAATGATGCACGGGAGCACACAACTACCAAGTTCTCAACGAATGTGAGGCTCAATGAAAATCAATCCACTCAAAGACCTGTGAACAGGTGACGGAGGGGACAATAATCTATTAGTAATACGAGGAATAAGATCGTTTGTGCACACTCAAGACGCACAGACACACCACCATACCTGTAGTGTACACAGTGTTTCACTTCACTGCAACTAAATTGAAATGAGATGATTTGAACAATCTGTACAGCGTTGCCGTCAGTCAGTCTTCCCCAAGATGGAAATGCAATGATTTGTTGTCACGAGGCAGTTTCACTGACACAATGTCATGTTCGTGACATCAAAACGGTTACTTCAAGGAGAAGCTTTTTCTTGTCATTGGCATACAAGCAATCCTCCTACTACTACTAGTACACTGGCACTGCGTTTGTGGATCCCATTGTATTTGACATCATACTAGAGGAAGAGTGTCGTGGAGTTTCACATAATTATCACAGGGATAAAAATACATTTCTCATGAAATAATTATAATAATTGATGATAGCTAGACGATCGTATACGATTGATGCAAAGTCCTTGCAGTCCTTGAGGACTATTACGAAGTGGTTGATTACTTTTAGGGCATTCATTCAAGCAACATCAAACAAACGCGATACGCTCCTTGAAAATGGAAAAAAAATTCAAGCATAACGACAGAACCGTGAGCAGACCAATCGAAACGAGTAAAAGCTTCCTTACCTCAGTCATCGTCCTGCCATGTAGTTGGACAGCCTTTTGACACGGTGGTACAGGCAGCTCTTGTCCAGTCAAACAGGGGTATCCTTGTGGCGTCGAACGAAAGAGAGTGTCAGTGTATCTGACTCGTCAGATTGGAACTGTGCTGAACTTTTCTCTTTCTCCGCTTTCTGCTTTCATCCCTCGCTCTGATGAAACCGTTCAAACGTCTTACTGGCAGCAATGGCCAGCCTAACAGGGGATCCTTGTGGCGTCGAACGAAAGAGAGTGTCAGTGTACCTGACTCGTCAGATTTGAACTGTGCTGAACTTTTCTCGTTCTGCAATTTCTGCTGTCATCCCGCGCACTGATGAAACGTCTTCAGAGAACCACAAGACGCTTTCCAGATTTGATTTTGAACGTCTCCTTATCCTCCTTGGTTACCTCGTGACAGATTACTGTCAGCAACTTCACAGCAGAACTGGCAGCCATGGCTGAAGTGAAGAAAGGAATGCGCTGCCACCAGGCAAGCAAAACTGAAAATGAATTGTTCTTTTTCGGGCACAACACACAGGACAGCGTGACTGGATAAAACTGGACTCCTGGACTGTGAATAGGGGACTGGTAGAAAAAGTGTACTCCTTATAGGGGATTGCGCGGCAGGTTGAAGCTGATCAAAACTGAGTGGACTCCTGGACTCTGTATAGTGGATTTTGGACCAATGGACTCTATATAGGGTGCTGGACATCATATAGTGCATGGACTCTATACTGAGTCCTACACATATACAGGGACATGTACTGTACGTATACAGGGACATGTACTGTACATATAATTATGATGATTACTGTACAATCATGTACACCATACAACTACATGTATATGTAGCTGTGCCGATCACTACAACTGCATGTATTTACATGTAGAAGCAAAAAGTAACAATAATAAAAGCACCCCCCACCCCCCTTGGCTGCATCTTCTTGCATGTGTACCTTTATCCATCGCCATGGGTTCTGGTACTTCTGCATGACAGGTACTTGAAGTAGCTGTCAAAAGCCCAGAAAGTCGTTATTCAAGCAGTGGATATGACCTCGGGGCACTAAAAGCTTGTTGTTATTCACGAATTGTCGTTATTCAGATAGTCGTTGTATCCGAAATTAAATGTATACAGTTAGATGGGACTTTGCTCTGGGCATGGAAATTCTGTCGTTATTCGCGAATTGTCGTTATATCCGCAGTCGTTATTAGCCAAGTTGACTGTACTTGTGAACCACTCTATCACCACTGCCGTGTTCCTCCATGCATTGATCTGCAGCTGGGGGCGGAGCTGTTTTAGAGCGGTATCGAGTATGGACTTGGAGACTATGCCAATCTCACTCTTTGAGGGATTAATGAGCCGGCATGGTAGGGACCGGGAAAGGTGTCCTTAGGAACCTTCAGCGTGATGTATGCGTCCTTCTTTGCCTTGCGTCCCATCTGGCGTCCAGCTCCAGAGTACGTGTACACCCCCAAGGTTTTGAGTAGTGAGAAAGATTCTACTTGGTCCGCGTCATCAATATTATTGTCGCTTATCTTTCAGCTTGGTTTATATGTCGGGGATGCTCACTTGGCAGCCCATTTCATCCCATTAATGGTTAGTAAGTTAGTTTACTAGTACCTGAAAGGTCTAGCTAGATTTGGAGTTGATTTCGAGAGCGACGGGTGGGTGATTCTGATTGATACCACGCCGCATAAAATATATTTTCTTGTCACACTGCACAGGTAAGAGCAGCGCGACGCACAATAAAGTAATCGGCTACTATACTCGAAATCAGTTCCATTTTGCAAAACGGCTGAGAAGGCTCACCTCGGGGATCGCTCGACAAGCTGAGATCGTAGTTCCCTCACCTCCAGCTCAACGCTCGGAGTATCCAGCGCCCGTGGAGATTTACTCAGTACTGTACGCGTCGTCGTCGTTCAATATAAAATCTTGCAAAGAACGGCGACTGATTTGAACCACACAGGTAGTCGTGTTGCCCACGCGAAGTCATATAGAGAAGGCAACCGTCACGATCGACTTCCCTTTAGAAAGTAGCCAGGCAGCGGAGAGGAATAGAGATGAGCTTGCAAAAGCGAGAGAGCAATCCAGAGCCGAGAGCAGCGACGAGGAGGACCAACAAAAGTATGAACACTTCCTTGGACAATACATTCCTCATGGCTAGTTGTCATTCTATACCTTACCTTCTATCGTACATGCCTCATTTCTTGTTGGATGAGAGCAACGAAGTAAACAAGAAATGCTGTTCTTTTCGAAACGCGAGTGCACAGTCCAGAGTTCACGGACTGTGCTGGGAGTGCGGTACGCACTGGCTGCACAGTGCGGAGTTGCAGCATGCACATGAAGGTGCATGCTGGTCTGAAGACAGTGTTCTTTTTGTTCTTGCACTGCTGCTGTACAGTTGCGAATTTTCGCTGCGTGGCCGAGTGCTTTTCTCTTCGTTTCTTTAGTGTAATCTGTCTGATCATGCCTGGACGTGGACGATCCTCCACCCCAAGAGGCCGGAGCAGGTCCTCCAGGGGAGGTAGTTTGCCTGCCTCAGCAAGCAGACCTGAAGTAAGCAGCTCCGACAGTGGAGCCGAACCGAACGCCCAACTGCAGGAGCAGCAGTTGAGGATCGGCGCTGGCCAAGGAACGGTCAAGCCGTCGTCGTCGTCGGTCCCCATCGTCGTCGGCATCATCCTCATCATCATCCTCATCTTCCCCCTGTTCGTCTCCGTCGTCATCCCCGTCTTCATCGTCATCTCCCGAGTCTCGCCGTCGTCGCGAAAAATCAAAAAAGGCCAAACACCCGAGAAGTCGTTCCGTGTGTCCCCAGTCAACCTCGTCGAGGCGGTGGAAGAACCCCTCGTACGAGAGACAGTACGAGACAAACGCTGCTGTGCTGGAAGAGCTCGGCGAAGTGCGTGCTGCTCTAGGGAAGAGGAAGGTGGACAGGGCAAGGCGAGCCACCAAGCAAGGTGAGAACTTGTTGCGGGATAGGCAAGAGTGGCTGGTTATTGCAGATGCACACGGGCACGAGGCAGCCAAAAAGTTTGCAGAGGGTGGCGAGATGCTGGGGATTGTCGGGTGCCCGCAGAAAAGGAAAAGGCTAATGGCAGCCATCCAATCCCCCCCTGCGCCAAAAGCCAAGCAGCCCTTTCTCCCCCGCACTGCGTCCCAGTCGGCCAAGGGGTGGGGTGCCCACAATGCAAACTTGCATGCCACCATTGCGGCGAAACAGGCCACTACATTCGCGTGTGTCCCCGCCGGCAAGCAGCTAGCCAGCCGCGAAATGCCTGAACCCTGTGCAGCTGACGACTATGATATGTCATTTCAAAGCAATGAATTAGATGCTGAAACCTATTCTATGTTGCATAGCGTGGATGGAGAGTTCGGAGGGGACCGGGACAGGGTGGTCATTGGCAATCTAAAGAAAAACGTGCAGTTCTGGGAAGAAATCGGAGCACCAAAGCTAGTACTTGAAGTAATCAATAATGGATACACGCTGCCGTTTGTTAGATTGCCAGGGCCCAGGTGGTCAGACAACCACAAAAGTACACATGAGTTTCCAGATTTTGTCGGGGAGGCCATTTCAGATATGCGTTCTCGCGGTTGTATTAAAGAGGTTAACAGAGACCAAGTGTCAGTGTGTAGCCCGTTGGGAGTGGTGGATAATGGGAAGAAGCTGAGGCTTATTCTGGACCTAAGGTACATCAACAAACACCTGGCTAAATTCAAGTTCAAACTGGAAGATTTGAAGGTGGTGGCAGATGTATATGAGAAGAACGATTTCTTGGTTACATTTGACTTGAAGAGTGGCTACCACCACATTGCTATAGCAGAAAGCCACTAGAGGTATCTTGGTTTCAGTTGGGTAACCCCCCAGGGAAAAGCAGCATACTATACGTTTTGTGTCTTGCCGTTTGGTTTGTCAACCGCCCCTTACATTTTTACAAAGGTAACCAGGGTGCTAGTGCGTCGTTGGAGGGCAATGGGTATACGTTGCCAACTGTACACGGACGATGGGTCGGGAGGACATGCTTCTAAGGCAGGTGCTCACAAGGTAGCAAATCAAATGAAGAAAGATCTCCAAAACGCAGGATTTGTGGCTAATGAAAAGAAATGCCGTTGGGAGCCTTCTCAGGTTGTAGAGATGTTGGGTATGGTGGTTGACCTACGCGTTGGAGCCATCCGAGCCTCCGAAAAGCGTGTTAAAAAGCTTAAGTCGATGCTCAGCACAATGTCAGGTAGCAGGCAACCATCAGCTAAGCTGGTAGCAAGGATGACTGGAATGATAATGTCCATGTCGCTGGCCCTGGGCCAGATTTGCAGGCTGAGGACTAGAGCATTCTACCACATGATCCTATTGAGGAAGTCATGGGCAGCTCAAACAGTTTGGTCAAAGGAGGCAATTGATGACCTGAAGTTCTGGAAAGAATCTTTTGACAAATTGCATGGCCAGCCTTTCTGGAAGAAGGACCCACGTGTTGTAGTTATCTGTCGGTCAGATGCCAGCGACACTGGCGGGGGAGGTTTCATGGAGGGGAGGTTGGGTGTGCATGTTGCGAAGGGTGAATGGCCAGGTGAAATCAAAGAAAAGAGACTAAGTTCTACTTGGCGTGAGCTTAGGGCTGTTAAGCTTGTTCTGGAGTCATTGGCACCAAAGATTGCTGGGAAGGCTTGCATACATCGCACAGACAACCAGGCAGCGGCACACATTATTGAAAACGGTAGCCGCAAAGAGCATCTGCAAGAGGAAGCTATAGGCAATACACAAATTGTGCAGGCGTTTTAGCGTGAGGATTAGGGCAGAATGGGTACCTCGGGAAGAGAACGAGCTGGCTGATTATTATTCGAAGGTTGTTGACCAAGACGATTGGCAATTGAACCCTGCATTATTCCGGGAAATGGAAGGGAGATGGGGCCCCTACAGCCTAGATTGTTTTGCCAGTTTTAAGACTAAGCAGCTCAGTAAGTACTGCTCCCGGTGGTGGAACCCAGAGTGCTTTGCGATTGATGCGTTCACAGTGGATTGGTCCATTGAAAGGGTGTGAATGGTTCCCCCAATCTACCTTATTTCACGTACAATCGATATGCTGCTAGCATGCAGAACCCATGGCACTCTCGTTGTACCAGAGTGGCGGTCAGCCCCATGGTGGCCAAAATTGCATGACGGTGCTGCGTGGTACGGATTTGTGAAAGAGTGCGTGTGGTTGCCAAAGGATGAGAATACATTCTTGCAGGGGTCATGCCCATGGAATTTGTTTGGTTACGGCATGCCGAAGTCCGAGATCATTGCTTTGAAATTGTGCGCAGTTAGTGGCTGTGATTGCTGACAGCATACCTGGCGCGTGTTTGTATGCGGGAGAGCCTGAGTATGTCTGACGGTGCATGAAATGAGAGCTTGCGGAAGTTTGCCTCCATGCTACAGGTGCGGTAGGGCAAGTGCTATAGGCACACATACAGCTATAAGCTCCCCGGTTAACACGTACAGATGTATCAACTCGAAGTTGCACCCAGAGCACTAGCTTCGCAAAGAGGTGAGTCCATGAGTTAAGTGTGCTAGCCAGAATTTAGAGAACACCATAGGTACGCACGTAATGTTGCACGGGCGAGCGGCCTCCAGGCGCTTTGTAATCGTTGTTATGAGAGAGGTGTAGAAGAGCGATTGGAGCACTTGCCGAGGATGTCACTACAGCTATGATGACAGTCAATGTTGAAGTATCGTTGTATTCGTTTTCATGTTCGTCACCGTGGTCTGGGTGGCCACACATTGAATTTAATATTCTGTCGATGGTTACATGCGACATTAAGCGTCCGTTTGCATTGTTTCTGTGTGGTGTGTATGTTGCGAGTGGTGCATACGGTCATGCACGGAGTTGTGCTACAGGCATACATGGACACTACAGGTGTTAACCCGAGCAGCAGGCATGATAAGGGTGAAAGCTACAGGCTTACAATTATGACCCAAGGTGCTGCGGCAGAGCCAGCCGAGCGCGGACGCTACAAGCAATCGAGCTAAGGGGGAGGAGGCAGTCAGTGGCGCAGAAGTAATCATGCTGTTCTCCGACTGTGTGCTACAGGCAAGTAAAGTCAACAGCCAGAACGCATGTCTCGCTGCTTGGCAGTCTATATGCCGCCAGCTATGCTTTGTGCTTCTTGGAGCAGCTGTTGCTGCGACCCTGCAGTTCTGTTGTTGTTGTGGTGTGTACGAGAGAGTCGAAAAGAAATGCCTCATTTCTTGTTGGATGAGAGCAACGAAGTAAACAAGAAATGCTGTTCTTTTCGAAACGCGAGTGCACAGTCCAGAGTTCACGGACTGTGCTGGGAGTGCGGTACGCACTGGCTGCACAGTGCGGAGTTGCAGCATGCACATGAAGGTGCATGCTGGTCTGAAGACAGTGTTCTTTTTGTTCTTGCACTGCTGCTGTACAGTTGCGAATCCCACCCACCCACCCAATTGGATAGTCATTGCTAGATATGTATGTGCATATGGATTTATTGGCTGAGTAAGCAGTAGTGCGTGTATGTGGCGAGCATGTTTCCGTGTGTGGGCCAATTTCAGATAATTCTGTATTAAGGTAGCACATTGGCTTTATTTAGACTGGCCCATTTGGGGTTATTCAGCATCTCCACCATTGTCGCTGGCGGCAATTCCCATTAATCAGTGCACTAGGCCGTGGTGAACGCATTTCGATCGGAGGTTCATGTATCCATTGTCCCATGGCTTGGATCGTGTACTGTCTTGCGTTGTTTTCCTTTTGTTATGCTAAAGTGATGTGTACCAGGCTGCCATGATTATGTTTAAATGCTGTGTGCCTGTGGCATAGTAATATTAATACACATGCGGTGCAAGAATTGGAGCAGCTGTTGCTGCGACCCTGCAGTTCTGTTGTTGTTGTGGTGTGTACGAGAGAGTCGAAAAGAACACGTTTTATCACCTCAAGTGCACACGTTGTTGTCCAAAGTCTAATTTCAAATTGTCGAAAGATAAGCGACAATATTGCTGATGCTGACCAAGTATCTAAATGTACATTGCCAAGGTTTTGAGTAGTGCTCAAACGAGCACTCTATGCTATCGAACGAGTAGTGCCACTATCGAGTTGAGTACCCTATAACACAACCTAGTCGCTCTAATGTGCACATTCCCAGCACGCCAACTTTAGCTTCAAATTGAGCACACATGTTCATTGTACAGGGTAGGTCAAGTTTCGCCCAAAGTCAGTGACATCTCTCGGACTGATTTTTCTCTCTTTCACTTGCATCTACATAGCTAAACACTTCCAGTAATAGAGGCACAGCTCTCAGGCGCATACGCAGGGTCACCTCTAGGGGGGTTTCCAACCGAATCCCAAACAACCAGTAACAAAGTGTGTGTAAGTGTGTTAGTTTTAACCCTTCCTAAAGAGCCGTAGGAAATTTTCAAAATTATGCATTTTTTCGTGTTGTTTGGATCATAACTTCAGTTCTACTCACTCAATCTTCATTATATTGGGCTTCCTGGAAGTGGAAAGGTATCAGGGAGAGAATGAGGTCGACCATGATAGCCAGGACACAGTACAGTCATATACATATCCAGCGCTATAGGCTATAGCGGTAGAGTGCAGCGACGGTGCGAAAAATGCCCCAAACAGGCCCAAACGCGTCCTGCTCCAGCGATTTCGTTTTTCTTGATCGCAGAGTTTCGACTTTTTCCTGTGTACTCTTGAAAATATCACAAGGGAAGCCCCTGCAAATTTGAGCAAATCAGCGTGACGAAAATCTCAAATTCTCGATTCTCAAGTCGCACTGCGCGCTTTTGAAATTGCCAAGATCGCGGCTCAATTTAGGAATGATTTATCTCACGATACATTGCTCGCAGCGCTTCACAAATTGTTTTAACCGACAGCTGAGAGTTTTCTATTCGACCTGGATATTTGGATCGTTGGATTTGAGCGAGATTTGACTGAGTTACGATCTTTTGAAGTTTTGCATTCTTGCCAGATCGATCATGCGCCCTACCAATAAATGCCCAAAAACGTTGCTCGTTTGGAACATTTGGGGGGTTTACGGGCAACGGGAACCCCCCCCCCCCCCTGCGTACGCGCCTGGCTCTGACTTCGTCGAGAGGAACTACATAAATAGACTTTGTCAGTTTGTGCTGCACAAAAAAGTCATGACAGCATACATTCCTCTACTATACGTGTATGCTATCGAGTATCGAGCCCCTTTTGAATTCAAGTCAAGTACTCAGCGAGCGTGTACTCGAGTACTCGGTGTATTCCTTTGAGCACTAGCGTTGAGAACTGGAAAAGCTTTCTATCTACATGTACCAGGCTGTAACTGTTCTTCTATCATGACATCATGACACTACGGAGAATTAGCAAGACGGAATCCGCGTTCGTGTTCGCACTCCAAGCAAAGTCGAACTCAGTGATGGAATTTTGCATTGAGAAGGATTAGCAAACAGAATTCACACATGCATGACGTTGACACGTCGTACATTGCTCACAGACAGTACGGCATTGTAAATTGATGACTGTCCTGACACGAATCCGCGATTTGTGTTTCGACTACTTTTCCAAACGAAAAATGCGAAAGTTTGCAATCCAGTTTGCGAACCGAAAAATGTTCGTGAACACGAATGCGAATTTCGTCTTGCTAATCCTCCGTATTGTAGGTGTCTCTTTCCCCGCTGCTGCTGCTGCTGCTGGTGCTGCTGCTATGGTGCGTATTTATGTTTTGGAATACAGGTGGTGGAAGGTGGAGCTGCCCAGCCCGTTCGTCGACGCTTCCACGACTTGCCGACATGGCTGGAGGCATGGACTCTCTTCATGAACATCGTGTGTTCTGCCAACCCGCCTGCAGGAGATGCTCTCATACCAAGCCACCATTGTTGCAGCCAACAGGCAATACTATCCGGAGGCTTGGCTGTCGTACGACACCCAGTTTCGCTCTGCCATTTCTGCTCAGCCAGGCAAGCGCTTTGACGTCATCGACATCAATCTGTGGCAAATGTCCGTGACTAGCCAATCAAGGCCCACATGTGAGTCCTGCCGCCTCGTCCATCCCGGAGGCGGCCAGTGTCCCTTTCTCCGCAACGTAACAACCAGCAAGCCTTCAATGGGGTCCGTACGGTGTCTAATGGCCAACCGATCTGCCGGAACTTCAACGCTGGGCGTTGCAGTCTCAGCAGGTGCAAGTACGCCCATGTCTGCACCCGCTGCGGGTCCAAGGACCACAACGGATCTAAGTGCGGTAGGCGCCAGTAACTGTGCTGCTTTGGCTGCAGCTCCCGCGATTGTACATATTTCTCCCTGCACTTCACGTTCCACTGATTTCACAAGCGCATGTCCTGCTGTCCACACGCCCTCTCTGTTTCTCGCTTCGAATCACTGCTTCGTAACCACCCTGACAGTTCATTGGCTTCGTATGTTATTAACGGCCTCCGCTGCGGCTTTGACATTGGCTTTACCGGCAACCGCATAACTAACCAACACTAGTCCAACCTCTCATCAGCATTCCAGCACTCTGCATTTGTGTCTGCACAGCTCACCGCTTCCTGCAACGCCGGCTACACGGCTGGCCCATTTGACTCGCCCCCATTCTCATTTATGTACTGCTCTGGCATTGGCGCCGTTCCGAAAAAGAATGGCAAGCTACGCTTGATACACCACCTGTCCAGCCCTGCCGGCTCCAGCGTTGACGACGGGATCCCTGCCGAACCTTTCTCTTTGCAGTACATCAGCATTGATGAAGCCATTAGCATCATTATGTCCTCCCCGTCTCCTGTCTATCTCTCTAAACTCGATGTGAAGAGCGCTTTTCGTCAAATACCTGTCCGCCCACAGGATTGGCATCTCCTAGGCATCCTGTGGCAGGGTAAGTACTACTACGACCGTGTCTTGCCATTTGGGCTTCGCTCTAGCCCAGCGGTATTTGATGCAGTGGCAGCCACCATCGAATGGATAATGCACCACGAATTCTCCATCCCTAAATTGCTGCATTTCCTGGACGACTACTTGTGCGTGAGCGTGGGCCAGGCAGTGGCGAATCGGCAGCTGGCCATTCTTCTCCGTGCATTCTCATACCTCGGAGTCCCGCTCGCGCCTGCGAAGGTGGAAGGCCCGTCTCGTACCCTGACATTCCTGGGCATTATCCTGGATTGTGAGAAGATGGAAGCCCGGCTCCCTGACGACAAATTGGCTGACATCAAGCGCCTGTTGACTGCAGCGAGCATCAACCCTACCATGTCTCCCTCGAACTCGAATCTCTTCTGGGGAAACTCTCCTTCGCTGCAAGAGTCATCGTACCCGGTCGGACATTTATGCGGCGCCTGTGGTCTATTTGCAGTCGCTACCAGCAGCCTCACTACCGCATCAGTCTGACTACCGAGTGCCAGGAAGATATCCAATGGTGGCTACGGCTCCTGGAAGAATGGAACGGAAAATCATTCTTCCTGTTCCCAGATTGGACACCATCTCCAGACTTGGAGCTGTTCACTGATGCCAGTGGCACCCTGGGCTGGGGCGCATTCAACACCGGCCGCTGGCTTCAAGGGACCTGGTCGTCTGAGCAACTCGCTCACAGCATTGAGTGGAAGGAGCTCTACGCGTTGGTCACAGCGTGCTGCACGTGGGGCAAGGAATGGCGCCAGCTTCGTATCACAATGCACTGTGACAACAAGGCTGTGGTAGATTGCATCCGCTCCGGCACATCCAAGTCACCGCCAGTGATGACCCTGATCAGGGAGCTGTTCTTTGTGTGCGCCCGCTTCAATTTCACCGTCGCTGCTGCTCACATTGCTGGCCAGTCTAACTGCATTGCCGATTCGCTGTCTCGTTTCCGCATGGAGGAATTTCGGCGTCTCGCCCCAGCTGCTCAAGCACAACCAGACCAAGCAGTGCTGCCATTCCAGTCGATGCAATATAGCCTTGACATACAGGTACCGATTGTCATTGCTAAATTGTCGTATTGAGAACCTGCGTTGGATTTCATCCATCTGCATGCCTACCTTTATCCATCTCGTGCCTTAATTCACTTGTTCTGAGCTCTCGTGCATTGGTGGTGAACGCTTGCTGGGGTGCCGTGTGCTGGTTTTCTGGGAACAGCTTCCTTCAACTGGTTGCTTTGCTGCTACTATCTCTGCTTAAAATTGCATACTATTGGTCGGCTGTTTGCGACGCCAATCAGTAGTCATTGCACCCGGTCGTGGGTACTATTGCCGCTCAAGCATGAGCGATTGCTTTGGCCGTTTGCAACGCCAACTGCTTCACCCTGGTTGGCTGTTTGCAACGTCGATCAGGGAACTTTGCACCCGGTCGCGGGTACTGCTGCGGCTCAGTCGTGAGCGATCACTTTGGCTGTTTGCAACGCCAATCGCTTCACCAGTTGATCGAAACCAGCACACTGGTGTACCCCAATCATCCTTGTGCGGTGTTGTGAGAATACGTGGGTATGCATGCAGCTTTGCTCTGTGACTTTCCATTGCATGTAGTCACTTGGCTCTCCCATTTCCTATACACTGTTCTGATGCATTCGGGTGCAAGCGCTAAGGGGTGTTGGCCACGCTCATTTCCGGACACTCAGGGCTATGGGTCATCGTCCTGCTGACATTTCTAGACTCTCTTGGCTCCGCCAAGATCCTGCTCCGGCGGTCGACAAGTGTCAGACTCTCTTGGCTTTGCCAAGATCCTGCTCCGGCAGTTGACAAGTCTCTCGTGGATTCTTCTCCGGCAGTGTCCACCCTGCCAACCCTGAATCTCTCTCTATGTAGCCTCTCACTCCGCTGGCCAGCACTCCCTCGTAGCTCAAGTCGCATTTTGTTGTAGTTTATATGTGTGTGTGTGTGTGTGTGTGTGTGTGTGTGTGTGTGTGTGCGTGCGTGTGCGCGTACATGTTTGTGTGCATGCAGTCATGCGTTGTGTGTGTGTGTGTGTGTGTGTGTGTGTGTGTGTGTGTTTGTGTGTGTCCCATATGGTGCAGTGGTATGTGCAGCGATTTCCAATCGATAGGTTGCGGGTTCAATTCCCGACAATTATGGTCACACACGTCATTCTTCTGTTTCTTAGACTACTCCTGACTTTTCTTTCATTCTCCTGGGTGGTTACCAACAGCCAGTGCATGCCGGAGTATGTGGTGTGATGTGTGTGTGTGAAAAAAAAGCAAAAAAGATAAAGATCCGAAAGTAGGGATTCACTGGCCAGAAAAAGCCACTTCATAACTGTGCGGTGTAGACCAGGCTGAATAGTGGCGGTCAATTCTTCAGCCTTGCAAGCAGTTGAATGGTGCAATCCCAGCACAAGCTGCTATGGCTTCTGCTGTAGCATTCGCTATCATCGCCTCCGGCGATGGGCGTCAAATGGTCAAATGGTGTGTGTGTGTGTGTGTGTGTGTGTTATGTGTATGTGTATGTGTGTTTGTGTGTGTGTTTGTGTGTGTGTGTGTGCCATATGGTGCAGTGGTTTGTGCAGCGATTTCCAATCGATAGATTGCGGGTTCGTGTGTATGTGTGTGTGTTTCTGTGTTATACATCTGCTGCTTTTCTTTAGACTTGGTGTACGGTTGGCTCATCTCATAGTCTAACTGACATACTTCGATCAGTGCTTTCAAAGAGAACATCTCCTCTCGCAGATAGAGTCCTTCTAGACCAGAGGTAAGCCACAATGCAAATTTGGGTCTGCAGGTGCGTGGGCGCGCGAGCGCGCGGGTGTGTGTGTATGTGTGTCAGCTAGTTCGGTAATCAATGGTGCTAGTGAAGCTTATATCAGATCCACTCTGATTTAGTCACCCACACTAGTAGCAAGTATTACCTTCACTGGGGTCAGGGGTAACTGCAGTTGGATCCCAGGACGTATACTCTGATGCCGTCAATCCTTTTTCTGCACCTTGTCCTTACCCACTTACTGAGGTGTGGTGAGCCCATAAGTGGGATCATTTTCAAGTCCACCCAGAGTTTTGGGGATTTGAGGGGGTGTCGGCTGTTGGGCGGTTCAATAGCCAATTGAGTCATCTTTCCAAGATTCCTTTTGAGTCTCTCTTCCCTCTCCCGGGGAGACCCACGTGACCAGTTTTGGCAGTGAGCAACAAGCACAAGTACAAGTGTGTGTGTGTGTGTGTGTCCCATATGGTGCAGTGGTATGTGCAGCGATTTCCAATCGATAGGTTGCGGGTTCGATTCCGGACGATTATGGTCACACACGTCTTTCTTCTCTTTCTCAGACTCCTCCTGACTTTTCTTTCATTCTCCTGGGTGGTTACCAACAGCCAGTGCATGCCGGAGTATATGGTGTGATATGTGTGCGTGAAAAAAAAGTAGTGATTCACTGGCCAGAAAAGCCACTTCATACCTGTGTGGAGTAGACCAGGCTGAATAGTGGTGGTCAATTCTTCAGCCTTGCAAGCTGTTGAATGGTGCAATCCCAGCACAAGCTGCTATGGCTTCTGCTGTAGCATCGCTATCATCGCCTCTGGCGATGGGCGTCCAATGGTCCAATGGTGTGTGTATCATTATGGTGATAATTAGGCAGATTAATGGGTGCACGCAGCTTCGTGCTACCGCTCAAACTATGCTGCTATGTTTGCTGTTGCTGTATACTCATGCTTTCCTACTGTCTACGGTCGTGTGCACTGCACTTCACAGTGACGAAGTCGGCCAAACAGCATTGTGCATGCGCGCGTGGTACTCTAGGTGACGTGACACTCTCCGTGCCATTGAACGTGACATTCACCGTGTCGGCAACGTGCGACGTGGCATTTGCCATGGCATATACCGTAAAGTCCGCTGCAAACGCCCACCCCATTTTTGCAAGATCTGCTGGCCTATATGCACTGACCCCATGCACTTTCACCCCTACTGTACGAAAGTGCATCTCACACCGTAGCGCGAGGAATGCTTTGCTACGGTAAACTATGTCCATTTTCTGGGTGTCAAAATGTTTTTGGGCACTAGTTACGAGCTAGCTCCTAGTGATTTTATGATGTTGGTTGTTAAATTTCGAAAATCCAAACGGGAGTTGCTTCGGAATAAACAGGTGAGGTAGCGAAGAACAGACTATTGCAGGAACCAAATACACTTCTGACGGTGTTTCAAGCCATCATTTCCAAATCACGCAAAGCGCAATGGCAAGGGTTTTTCTCGAGCACTTCAGAGTTTTCAACAAGTTAGCAGCGACTTTGTAGGTGTAGCTTCTGTGACATCCCCCCCCCCCTGTTCGACTTGCAACTGCAATACTGCGACCGGTCAAGTCGTTGAATGACGCTTCGTCAGAACAATCACCGTTCCATTCTGAAAGCGCGACATCGTGGCAATGCAGAAATTTTATGATTTGAAAACCAGATGGATTCTACGGCATTACTTCATGAAGAACGAACTAATAACAAAGACAACTCATTCATCGTGTTGAGTTCGAAACAGGACGACTGACGACACATTATCCAGACATTACAACGGGAACAGGTAGGTTGGGGGAACGACATTTATTATAGACGACGAGACAAGAGACCAAGACGAACGAAACGACTACATTGAAGAGTGAGAAAAGAGAGAATGAAAGCAAGTCTGAACGGCAAGATGAAGGGCCTGGGTAGCTATGGCAAATATGGGCGCGCAAGTAGCTACCCAGGCCAACGGAACAAAAGGAGACAAAAGGTGAGTACGCAGGTGCATGCAGGCCAGCTAGAAAAGGTACGGGAGGAGGTACCTAACATACCACCCCTCCATGAAAAAAATCCCGCGTCCTCGCGGAGAGAAAAAAAGAGAGAAAAAGATTTAAAAAAATGACTGAAGGAGAAAAAACACACACACACAACGCACGGGCCTCACAAAAGTGTGTACTAAAAAATGCACTACAGATCATTACAAGCGTCAACGTTCCTGTACTACTTATACTATAGTGTGTACATGTACATTGCCAATAACAACGGGCCCAAACGCCCCTTCAAAACATGGCACCAAAAATAACTATTGGAGTTCGACGAGGGACTTGAATTGTATTCTGATGACTAGTATTGTGCACGGCTAATAGAGCCTAGTTACTCTTCAATATACGACATAAATAAGAGAGCGTGGCTCACCATGATCGGACCCCTAATATTAATGAAGGACACCCGCGCGCGCACACACACTACAAAAAAAATTCACGAAAATAAATTTGACGAAGAAGGAACGCATACAAAAAAAGAAAGAGAGAAAGGTAGCTGACCTGCATGGCTTGAAACGAGACGAGGTTGACATAGACGAGACGAGGTTGGCGTAGGAGAGACGAGGTTGATAGACGAGACGCGGTTGGAGACGAGACGAGATGGACCTGGACGAGACGAGGTGGACATAGACGAGACGAATGGCGGTTGAGGACGACTGGGCATGGGATGATCTCAGGGTCGTGGGTTGATCAATAATCGGGCGCCAATGTTGAGTTCGAAACAGGACAACTGACGACACATTATCCAGACATTACAACGGGAACAGGTAGGTTGGGGGAACGACATTTATTATAGACGACGAGACAAGAGACCAAGACGAACTAAACGACTACATTGAAGAGTGAGAAAAGAGAGAATGAGAGCAAGTCTGAACGGCAAGATGAAGGGCCTGGGTAGCTATGGCAAATATGGGCGCGCAAGTAGCTACCCAGGCCAACGGAACAAAAGGAGACAAAAGGTGAGTACGCAAGTGCATGCAGGCCAGCTAGAAAAGGTACGGGAGGAGGTACCTAACAATCGTATGAAAGGAAATCTCGACTGAAGTTTTTTTCTTTGCAGCAAGATAATGACAATCGCTTTTGTAGAGCCTCTTGGTAAGACATATCCAGTTTGTAGGCATTATAGTCGTTCTCGTACACATTTAACCTTAATGCCAGTTTTCTACAACTATATTGACCTGAAAAAGACGAAAATAGTATGGACCCGCTGGGGTGGGGGTCTGCAGCGAAGTGGGCGTTTGCAGCGAAGTGGGCGTTTGCAGCGAAGTGGGCGTTTGCAGCGAAGTGGGCGTTTGCAGCGAAGTGGGCGTTTGCAGCGAAGTGGGCGTTTGCAGCGAAGTGGGCGTTTGCAGCGAAGTGGGCGTTTGCAGCGAAGTGGGCGTTTGCAGCGAAGTGGGCGTTTGCAACGAAGTGGGCGTTTGCAGCGAAGTGGGCGTATGCAGCGAAGTGGGCGTTTGCAGCGAAGTGGGCGTTTGCAGCGAAGTGGGCGTTTGCAGCGAAGTGGGCGTCGACCCGCTGGGGTGGGCGTTTGCAGAGAAGTGGGCGTTACCCGCTGGGGTGGGCGTTACCCGCTGGGGTGGGCGTTACTCGCTGGGGTGGGCGTTACCCGCTGGGGTGGGCGTTACCCGCTGGGGTGGGCGTTACCCGCTGGGGTGGGCGTTTGCAGAGAAGTGGGCGTTACCCGCTGGGGTGGGCGTTACCCGCTGGGGTGGGCGTTACCCGCTGGGGTGGGCGTTACCCGCTGGGGTGGGCGTTACCCGCTGGGGTGGGCGTTACCCGCTGGGGTGGGCGTTACCCGCTGGGGTGGGCGTTACCCGCTGGGGTGGGCGTTACCCGCTGGGGTGGGCGTTACCCGCTGGGGTGGGCGTTACCCGCTGGGGTGGGCGTTTGCAGCGGACTTTACGGTATATGTGATGCGCTCAACGTGGGCGTCATGCGACGTTCGCTCGACGTTTGCTCGACATGATTTGCTAGAGCTCGCGTCGCTATAAATTTCGATCCGTACTGTGTGTGGTTCATTCTTGTCTGCTCGTTGTGTTTCACCTTCCGACCTCCCATTTCTCATCACTCATTTACTTTGATAAAGTGAATAAAAAGGGTGTTGGCCATGCTCATTTCCGGCTACTCAGGGCCCTCAGTCGCCGTCCCTCGGACATATCTAGACTCTCTTGGCTCTGCCAAGATCCTGCTCCGGTAGTCGACTGGTCTCTTGTATATACTTGGCTCCGCCAAGATTCTGCTCCGGCAGTGTCTACCCGGCCGACTCTGAATCTCTCTGTGTCTAGCCTCTCACTCTGCTGGCCAGCACTGCCCCGTACCGCAAGTTTCTGTGTGTTGTATTTAATGTCTGCACATGTGTGTATGTATGTCCATATTCGTGTGTGTGTGTGTGTGTGTGTGTGTGTGAGTGTGCGCGTGTGTGTGTCTGTATGTGTGTGTGTGCGTGTGCGCGTGTGTGTGTGTGTGTGTGTGCAGGTGCGCATACAGGTGTGTGTGTGTGTGTGTGTGTGTGCATGCATGCGTGCGTTTGTGTGTGTGTGAGTGCGTTTGTGTGTGTATGTGTGTATGTGTGTTTGTTTGTGTACATGTGTTTGCGTGTGTGTGTATGTGTGTGTGTTTGTATGGGTGTGTATGTTTGTGTGTGTGTGTGTGTGTGTGTGTGTGTGCGTTTGCGAGTGCGAGCACATGTGTGTGTGTGTGAATGTGTGTGTTTGTGTGTGTGTATGTGTGTTTGTGTGTTTGTGTGTGTGTGAGTGTGTTTGTGTGTGTGTGTGTGTGTGTGTGTGTGTGTGTGTATGTATGTATGTGTGTCTTGTGTGTGTGGGTGGGTGTCCCATATGGTGCAGTGGTATGTGCAGCGATTTCCAATCGATAAGTTGCGGGTTCGATTCCCGACGATTATGGTCACACACGTCTTTCTTCTCTTTCTCAGACTCTTCCTGACTTTTCTTTCATTCTCCTGCAGAGGTCTAGCCAGGATTTTATGCCAGCCGGCCAACGTTCTAGTTAAAATGCATCGTTCTGGGGGCTGCGCCCACAGACCCCCGCCATCAGTCACGTATCCACACAGACACACACACACACACACACACACCACTACAAATCTTTCATTGCAGCTTGCATGTCCTTTCGCTTCGTCCAATTATGGGCATTCATCAGGCAGTTGTGACAATGTGATTATAGGTAAATTAACAAAATATGAAAAGGAAGCAAACAGCTACATGAGCATGGATCATGTGTTCACCAAGGTCATGTCTGCATGCAGTGTACATTGGTCATCTGACAAGTCCCAGCCTAGTCACAGCCGTGTACACCACCAGAAGCAGTGAACCATGACCCAACCTGTTACATTTTACTGACGTACTCAAGTGCATACTCAAGTGCATTTGAGCTTGTGTGAAGAGCTAGCACTGAGCCTGATTAGCCAGTGCTACGTAGTGTACTGTACATACCTACGCCTAGGATATGGGTTGTACTGCACCATCTAGACTCAAGTGCTAGTGCAGTGCACTACAGTCTACATGGGGGTGACTGCAGCCGGCCAAAATTACCCTTGGAGCTGTCTCAGCCGGCAGGTCGCCCGGCTGAGCCGGCTTTGGCTAGATCACTGCTCCTGGGTGGTTACCAACAGCCAGTGCATGCCGGAGTATGTGGTGTGATGTGTGTGCGTGGAAAAAAATAAAAAAGACCAAAAAGTAGGGATTCACTGGCCAGAAAAAGCCACTTCATAGCTGTATGGTGTAGACCAGGCTGAATAGTGGCGGTCAATTCTTCAGGCTTGCAAGCTGTTGAATGGTGCAATCCCAGCACAAGCTGCTATGGCTTCTGCTGTAGCATCCTTATCATCGCCTCCGGCGATGGGCGTCCGATGGCCCAATGGTATGTCTGTCTGTGTCTGCGTCTGTGTGTTTGTGGGTGACCCCTCTGCTGCTGTTTTTTAGACTTGACGTTCGGTTGGCTCATCTCATAGTCTAGCTGACATAATCAGTGCTTTGAGAGAGAACATCTCCTCTCGCAGATAGAGTCCTCCTAAACCTGAGGTAAACCACAATGCAAAATTTGGGTCTGCAGGTGTGTGTGTGTGTGTGTGTGTGTGTGTGTGTGTGGTGATAATGCAGATTAATGGGTGCACGTAGCTTCGTGCTACCGCTCAAGCTATGCTGCTATGTTTGATAGTACTGTTGCTGTATACTCATGCTTTGCTACTGTCTACGGTCGCGTGCGCTGCACGTCACGGTGACCATGTCGGCCAAACAACATTGTGCATGCACGCGTGGTACCAGGCGCGTGCCCCGTATGGGTTCCTGGGTGCCCGGAACCCCCCTTTTTCGCTCAAAATGCAGGATTTTGCTTCATTTTTTGAAACTTTTCTGGGGGGAGGCCCCCGAACCCCCCCCCCCCTTGAACGGCACCGGCGCACGCGCCTGGGTACTCTAGGTGACGTGACACTCTACGTGTCATTAAATGTGACATTCAATGTGTTGGCGAAGTGCGACGTGGCATTCACCATGGCATTTGTATGTTGCGCTCAACATGGGCGTCATGTGACGTTCGCTCGACGCTTGTGGTGGCATAAACACAGTTTGAATTTCCCCGCCTGATTGCCACTCACAAAATACTGTTTGACTGAAGTTATTCTATTCGCTGAGTCGAGAGAGCTCTACAATTGTAGCTCTATCGTTACTGAATTAATTGTTACTGACATTGGACACAGAACAAGAAGGATTGGACTTCATCGTCATCAGACGCACCATTACAACAAAAACGTGAGACTCCTCGAGTGCAGTCAGCCCGCCAATAACATCATCGCCAAAGGATCAAGCATGCGCATCAAAACTGCCAGCACTGCACATCGCCATGGTAAATATGGCGATAGACAAAAAAGGAGAAAATTGACGTGAAA